GGAGACGAGGGAGGCACGGGGGAGGGAGGATGGCCGCGAAGGGAGGCGAATGAGGATAAGGTCCTCGTCGGCGAGCACCTCGGACATGGGGCTGGCCAGCGCCACCCAAGGCCGCAGCCTCTTGACATCCACGCACGGCAAGCCGGGAACGGGATCGACCCTGAAAAACAGCAGCAGCCACAGGAAAATGCAGTCAATGGAGTGGTTCCTTCAACCAGTGTGGCTGCATAAGCGGCATAACATGCAACAAACGAAGCACATTCATCTACTCCATCTGTTCCAAAATAGATGACCTAACTTTTTTCTAACTTTAATACAAAGTTGGATCACCTATTTTAGAACAGAGGAAGTAGCAGACAAGCACAGCACATACAGAATGAAGGGAGAAACTGGATGGCCTTACCCTTGGCCTTGGGGAATCTCAGCAGCGTCCACCATCGATATGTGGGCGCACCCTCTCCTGGCGTTTCCTATTTAGCACTGCAGGCGCCCGTTTGCATGCAATTCGCAAACTGGCGCCTGCAGCGCACCGTGCTGTGCCGGCCTGTTAGACTGTATTTCGTTCCGAAAAAAGAAACCTATTTTTTTCGCTTCCCTTTTTTTCACTATCATTTTCTGTTTTTCTTTTTTTTCTTCCTGGTTTCTTCCCTTATCGATTTAATTTTTTTTCACTTTTCCTAAATGCGGGAACCTTCTCCACATCAATATTGTTTACTTGAAATTTTATGAACTATTTTTAAAAGTTGATTATTTTTTGAAATTTTCTTTAAATCGATGAATATGTGAACTTTTCTTCAAATCAATGAATTTCTTTTTCAAAATTTGATAAACATTTTTTTCAACTCAATGAAGTTTTATTCAGATTTGTGAACTTTCTTTCGCATTCAGTGAACTTTTTCCAATTCGAAGAGTACTTTTTTAAAAAAAATGATGAACCTTTTTCAAATTCTACGAACTTTTTTCAAAATCAATGATCTATTTTTCAGATTCGGTGAACTATTTTTCAGATTTGATGAACTTTTTTTGGATTTGATGAACCTTTTATAAATTTTATAATTTTTAAAAAAATTCATGAACTTTTGTTCAAATCCGTGAGCATTTTTGAATTTGTAAACTTTTTCTTTTTTACGAATTTTTATTTTTCATATTAATCAACGTGAAGAAAGTCGTCTATATGTTAATGTTTGTACTAAAAGCGGGGTCAAATAGGATTATGGCCTGACAATAAACAACAAACTGAGGCTGGTCTAGTGGAACGTTCGAACCCATCGACTTAGGCGAGCAGAGGCCGATCCCCTCTTTTCTCCAATTAACGTGAACATTTTCCTTCGCATTTGTTTTTCTCCACAGGTTGATTGGGCCGGCCCGCTACACACCGCGTGTGAGCGCCAGGAGCCCTGCTGGCGCTTGCAGCGCCGAGCGCCGATTAGGAGGTCCCCTCTCTCCCCGCTGTGCAGCAAGGGTTTGATTGGGAGGGGGAAATCAACCTAGGGTTGAAGCCTAGCCTGCCTTGTAATGTTGGCCCAGCCCAATCTGTCAAGTGAAAAAGGCCCATGGATTTGCTATTAGCTGAGTCGTTAATCCAAATCCCACGTATCCAGGGCAATCCCCGATATCTACCCCTACAAAAAGGCAAAAAAAATCATCTTAATAGTACATTTTATCAAGGCAAATATCGGCATCAGCAATCTTTACTAAGTACGTGTGATTTATTCTGCGAAAAATACTACACGTGATTTGGTTCATAAACAGTCAATAAACTATCTCGAAGCATTAAGCAGAGGCAACAAGTGTCCTAGAAAATGCAACCAGTGTCAAATATCTGAATAAAAATAATTATGTAATTTAGTTTAGTCGACAAAGACATGAAAGTAATCAAGATCTATTCCAGGTTAGTGATCCGATCAACACCTAGGTTCCCAGAATGGACAAACTTCACATTGCCAATCGTAGAGATAATGTGATCATCTTTTGCTAGTAGCTTCTGCCTTTGATGCAACATCCGGCTCATGCACGTTGGATTCATTGCCGTCTGATAATTAATTAAGATGGTGTGTCTAGTTTGGGTCTTAACTAGAGCACCAACGTCGAAAGTGCCCTTCTTAGCTCGAGCTTTGTATGAGCTCGGTATCAACAGTCATATGCGAAAACAAAAAGAATTCAAAATATTTTGAATTTTTTGTTACAAACTTTGACAAATGTTTTCCATGTTGCCAAATAAAAAAATCTGCAATCCAAAATAATTTCGAAAATAACATTTTTGAAGTATCTTTTTTTTGCCACAACTTCCAAGGAAATCATTTCATGATGAAATTGTGTAAACATTGAAAACATTCATAAAATTTTGCCTAAAAGAATCAGAATTATTTGAATTTGTTTCTATTTTTTTTCAATTTTATTGTTCATCCAAGCTCATATGAGCTCGAGCTGAAATACTCCACGTCCCACCAACGTACGCCTCTAGCAGCTGGCTGAGTGATCAACGCAACTGAACTCATGGAAAAGGAAAGCAATCAAATATATTACGTACATTTTCACTAACATTGTTCTAGCTTTTTTCGAAAAGAAGATTGAAACCTCTGGCCTCTGCATCCAATGATGCACCCAGTCATCTTTATTAAATTATTAAACAGATTCTAATAAAATAAATACATGCATCAACTCAAAGCCATCTTTCTGGTGACCTCTGTCGCTACATCTATAAGCTTGACAATGTGCCCTGGCCTCGCACCAACACACACCATCTATTTCGGTGGCCTCTCCAAACTGCCCCACGACGAGCTGAGAGCACTAACCAGTCTAGTAGAGCCTCAGCACGCACCTCACGAAGATGCTCTAAAATTTGTCGCCATCCCATCTCTAGGAGGGATCAACACATTGGCCTTGTCAGGCCCAACTGACGTCCATGCCACCACCCTGCGCCGTCCATCCACACGCGTCCATGGTCAATACTCCACTATGCCACGCCGCCAAGGCCCACTGTCGTTGATGCAATAGACGCAACACCGCTCCACCTCTTGGCCCCTCCAGCCAACACCTGCACCAAAAAGGATGCCCCCATGAGGAAGAACGAAACCAAAGGCGTCGTCATCATCCGATTCGAGAGATTCGGATCTAGGGTTTCCCCAGGAGCAGCCTGAACAAGGTGATACAGATTGCAACGATGATGTCTCGACAAGGAAACGACGTCAATGACGCTGCCATCATCTGCCATGACCGAAGTCGCCATGGAAATTGATACACCTTATGTTCTGGAGCGAATTGAGTATATGTTAGTGAACAATCACTGTCATGGTATAGATCGTGCATTAATAAAAAAACAAAATACAACTTTTATCCGTAGATCTTCATAATTCTATTACCTTTGTGTTATGCTATATTTAAGAAAATCACTTTGGAGGTCATGTGTGAGGACGATATGATGTAGACCTCACATCAGTAGTACATATAATAGGCAAATATTTTATAGTTGATGCCGCTATTACCTTGTGATTTGCAAGTGAAATTTATGGTAGCTACAGTGGTCAAGTCTGGCCTATAAATACGACCTTGCCGCAATATGGGTGTTGTAGTAACGCCGATGACGATGAGAGATCACGGCGGCGGAGAGCAGTGGCAATGTTATAGAGGGGGAGGGGCTGGGGATGAGTGGCCCGAATAAAGACTTTTTCCACGGTTTCGTGCCAACAAGGTAATGGCCCACCTCCACGGTCTCTCTTTTTGTATTGGTTAGTCTTTCTGTTTTATTTTGTTCAAGAATGTGATGGGCAAAACCTCCATTTTGCATGACCTTTATAACATTAACGCAGCATCTACAGCCGCCCATAGTTAATTTGGTCCTTGAAACGTTCGTGAACGCGTCCGGTCAGTTACCGGGTGTATCTGTTTTGACCCCTCATATTTGCTTCCAAATAACCATGTACCTTGAATTTATCTCCTCACTTTTGAGTCATTTCTACAAGCACCTTGTGGGCGAGCACGTACAACAGCAGCGGCTGTGGCCGGGCATCCAACGCGAGCAGCAACGGCGGTTGTGGCGGCGATCTCCGCAAGTGCCTCGGCTAGCATGCCCGCGGCCGCCAGCTCGTGGCATGCAGCGGCTCGCCGGCCCATGGCCAACTCGCAGAGCAGCCGCGGCGGCCAGCAAGCTAGCTAGCATGGGTGCGGCCTGTACGCACGGACACTCCAGCCCATGTAAACATAACGACTGATGAATGACAAGTTCCTTTCCCGCAAAAAAAGGAGAGAGCAAAACCTGTCTACGTGTTTTGGACCATGCGGTGAATAAACTTTTTGGAGCAGTCAAATGAGAAATCCTGTCTTAAAATATATGGTGAGAACAAGTAAGCCCGAGGACAAAATTAAACACAGAGCCCACGGCCGATAGCCTCCCCGCGGCAGCACGTAGTAGAGGTAGAGGTAGAGGACGCTCGCCCGCCCACCGCCCGCTGTTGCCCGTGCGCCTCCCATGAATGGCCGAAAGAAGCTACGCTACAGTCTACGGCCCCGCTGGCCGTCGTCTACGCCAGCGCAACCCGCACTCGCCCCGCAACCAAAGCGTACGTACGTACATGGTCCTTCGCTGCCCCTCACTGTTGCTTCGATCGCCGATCGGGGCACCCCGACGCCCGCCCCTCCCCGCGCGCCGGTGCGCCGTCGCCGTTGCATCCGGTGGAGGCGCGACACCAACCGCCCCTCTCTTTTCTTGACTCTCGCGCGCATCCGTCGCCGTCACCTTTACTTTTCCCGATCCCTCTTCTTCCATGACGGTGCGCGACATGACATGCATCACATCCTCCACCCCTCTCCCAAGGACAAGGAAGCGACGGTGGGCTCGCTAGACGGACCCGTCAACCGCCTGCTGCATATATACACGCACGCGCGCCCGGGCGGGTACACAGCCACGCACACACTTCTCCCCCGGGCCAGAGCAAGGAGCTGTCTGGCAGCTAGCTGCTCGGGTCGCCGGCGTGTGAGAGACGGAGCAACAAGGCGGGGAGATGAACGGCGGAGGGGGCGGGGGCGCCGGCAAGATCAGCCTGCGGCTGCAGTACTACGTGCTGCTGGCCGGGGTGGGCGCGGTGCTGCTCGTCGGCTGCCTCAAGTACATGCCGGCGGCGGCGGTCGTGGCGGCCGGCTACGGGTCCTGGGGGAGCGGCCTGGCCGTCGCCACCCGCGCCGGGGAGGCGGAGGCGGACGCGGACGCGAAGAGGTCCCCGGTGGTGATCTTCAACTTCGGGGACTCCAACTCCGACACGGGCGGCATGGCGGCGGCCAGCGGCCTCAACATTGCGCTCCCGGAGGGCCGCACCTACTTCCGCCGCCCCACCGGGCGCCTCTCCGACGGCCGCCTCGTCATCGACTTCATCTGTGAGCCTCATCCCCATGCCTTCCCCGCTTCACTTCTTGCTCTCCGCTCACATCTTCATGCCTAGCATTTCCCAACTTATTGGCCGGAAAAAGGAAATCAAAATGAAATTCACGAATTCCAAACTGAAACTGCTCCGAATTTTGTCGAATTTCAGTCACGTCTGCTCTACTAGTGCTTCCCTCCCTGCTTCTTCTCTCTGCTGCGACATGGGACTTGAGCTGGGAACAGAGCATGGTTTAGGATAAGGCAGTGAGGAAGGGGAGAGTAATATGCACATGGGAGGTTGGATCGAGATCCAACGACCGGGAGAGCTGACAGCAAATCTTACTAAAATTCCCACGAATACGTACAGGAATCAATGCAAGCAAAATAGTTGGCACCCGTGTGCGCACAGTTCTAAACACCAAAGCATCATGGCAAGAAAAGCAATTAACCAAATCAGTCCATGATTTTATCTACCTACTAGTGTCGGTGTGCAATGCACTGACCCAAACAAACAAATCTTGAAAGTTTATCCTCCGCACAACACAAATGGGATGGGAACTTCTTTTCTCAAGCTTTGAAGAAACAAAAATCTTTTTCCGGAGCTTTAGGGTAGCACCCTACGAAAAGCAAAGATCTTAAACCATCTTCAAAAGCAATTAAGCTAAATCAAGGGAAAGGGACGGGCATTGTGAGAAAGGTGAAGAGGACACACGAATGCGTATGCCGACAAGGAAATGGGACATCGCTGTAATGGGATCATAAAGGCGATTTATGCGGGCACTCCACATGTACGCTTGCGCTGCCCAAAGGGGAGCCATTGCGTCGAAGGCAAAATAATCCTGTACGACCGGGTCGTACGTGCGACCCGGCCGCATGGGGAGGCTGGCAGGTGGGCCACCCCACGAGGAGCTCTCTCACAAGCGGGTCGTACAGGATTCGCCTCCGCGTCGAAGTATCTGCACTCCACTACTCCACTGATGGGCAATATGTTTTTTTTTTCATTTGCCGGGTAACTATTTCTGAGACATTTGTTGATGCCGTGCCATGACGCAGGTGAGAGCCTGGGCACGCCGCATCTGAGCCCGTACCTCAAGGCGCTCGGCTCCGACTTCAGCAACGGCGCCAACTTCGCCATCGGCGGCTCGACGGCGACGCCGGGGGGATCCCCCTTCTCGCTCGACGTGCAGCTCCATCAGTTCCTCTACTTCAGAACCAGGTCCTTCGAGCTGCTCAACAAAGGTTTGCCCATCCTTATCAACAACTTGTTTGCACAAATGTATGAACTGATAAAACTAGTGCAACAAAAGAAACCATGATTTGTCGTATGGTGAAAATTTTATGGAGGAAACAAAAATACTTTCATCTTATTTCGTGTATGTTAGCTTCGGCTTATACGTCGCTTTTGGAAGAAAGAATATTTTAGCTAGCTAGCTTGTTGTGTAAGGTTGTTGTGTTGAGGCTTGACTTAAGCAGAAGCCACGCCGATGGTCCCGAACTATCCAAAGATGCCTATTGCCCAACATATGCTGCGATCTTCGCTTCGGCTCATGCGTCGCTTTTGGAAGAAGAACATTTTAGCTAGCTTATATTACGTAATCACACTTATAATGTGCTGAGCCTTGACTTAAGCACAAGCTACACTCATGGTCCCAAACTATCCCAACATGTTGTGTGCATCTGCATCTAGCACAAGCTACACCAATGGTCCCAAACTACCCCAGATGCCTAACATATGTTTTGTATGTTAGATTCGGCTTATTTGTCGCTTTTGGAAGAAGAACATGTTAGCCTACTTATTATGTAAGCTTGTTCTTGTGCTGAGCCTTGACTTAAGCTGAAGCTACACTGATGGTCCCAACTCCCAAACTATGCCAGTGTACATCTGCATCATGATTTTTTTTATTTTTTTTTGCTGAGGAACATGTTTAAAATTAAATCCCATGTTCCTACTACCTAATCAACAGCTAGTAGTCTCTAGAGAAATAATGATTGATACTGACATGACAACCGCACTGCACGTGAATTTTGTCCTGTGAATAGTTGTGTCTTGTGTCATGACAAAATCCAAGTTCTAAAGAATAGTTCAGTCTACTGTCCTAGCAGAAAAAGTGTTAGGATAATAAATCTCTCCGACGAAAAGTAAAACCATTTTAGTACCTTGATGGCTGTTTGTTGTGAGACGTGATGCAGGTGAGAAGACGCCGATCGACCGGGAGGGGTTCCGGAACGCCATCTACGCCATAGACATCGGGCACAATGATCTTTCTGCCTATCTTCACCTCCCCTACGATCAAGTGCTCGCCAAGATCCCTGCCATAGTTGGTCACATCAAATTCGGCATGGAGGTAAATATGACCCCCTCTGTATTTGAGTAGATAAATGGATTATAAATTATGGTCTCCCGCGATGAAGAAGAAGAAGAAGAAGAAGATAAATTAGGGTACCTGTAGATTTCCTCCATGGATATGTAGTACAAATAATAGAACCAGCAAGCGTCCTCATACTCATACGTGCTGCAGACTCTCTACGCGCACGGGGCGAGGAAGTTCTGGATCCACGGGACGGGGGCGCTGGGCTGCCTGCCGCAGAAGCTGTCCATCCCCAGGGACGACGACAGCGACCTCGACGCCAACGGCTGCCTCAACAAGTACAACAACGTCGCCAAGGCCTTCAACGAGAAGCTCGCCGAGACCTGCAACCAGCTCCGGCAGCGGATGGCCGACGCAGCCATCGTCTTCACCGACCTGTACCCCATCAAGTACGACCTCGTGGCCAACCACACCAAGTACGGCGTCGAGAGGCCCCTCATGGCGTGCTGCGGCAACGGCGGCCCGCCCCACAACTACAACCACTTCAAGATGTGCATGTCCGGGGAGATGCAGCTGTGCGACATGGACGCAAAGTTCATCAGCTGGGACGGCATCCACCTCACCGAGTTCGCCAACGCCATCGTCGCGTCCAAGCTGCTCACCGGCGACTACTCCAAGCCCAGGGTCAGGATCGCCAGCCTCGTCAACTCCACCGCGCCTCACGATGGTTAGCTAGGCTTGGATCATTCGTCGTGTATCTAGATCTGCTGGTGCCATTGATTTGATTTGGTTGGCATACCACTGCCAGAGATGATGAGAATGTGGCATGATGCAGCAGATGAGTGAGTGAGCTGAGAGCAATCATCTACACGTGTCTCTTTTCTCAAGGCTCAGATGAGTGGAGGAGAGAAAGTAGCGAGTTGACAAAGAGGGGAAATTCATGGCCGACTTAGGCAAGGCACATTTGACTGACGTGTGTGTAATTCACTTTGAACATTGATCAAGGAATTGATGGAGTGCATAGTTTTCTTCCTGTATATATTTTTATGAGAGAGGTTTTATTGGGAAATTGGTGCCTACTGTTTGGCATATCTACTGCACGAAAAATCAAATTCAGCATCTCTTTAGGACTTGTTCGGTTAAGCCCACGTTAGCAGGGAAACAAAAACACCATGAAAACCAATCCCTCACATGTGCTGTTGTAACCATTCAGACATTCAGACAGAACAAACAGCAAAGTTCAGTCACAACCAAGCCAAGCGGACGACAGTTGTAACCACTGCACCGGATGCTGACTTCGCTGATAACATGCATCCTTCCTGCCGCGGACGACCGCGTCAGCCTTCTTGCCACCGCTGATGAAGAGGAAGGGCGACACTGGCTTCATGCTGTATGTTTCTTAAATTTCCCGACAGGAATCTGCTAAATGGCAGTAAATTTGGACTTGCAAAGTACTGTAGTAGAATGGAGGCAATCATTTCAGGACAACAGAGATTCGGCCTGAAAGCCACTCCTATCTCAGAGAAGCATATAAACTGCTTAGCCTAAAAGCCACTGATATCACTACAGTAAAATGCACAAGCACAGAGGTAGAGGGACTCTGAACTGAATCGTGAACTTAAGTGCAACTATTTGTGTGATAAAAGTTTCTGTACATGTCTATTTCCAGGTCCTAGAATGTGTCTTGGCTCCAACTATCTTCTTATTTCGACAAGCGTACAGCAAGAGATCCACAAACAGAGCAGGAGCATACAGTTCTGAGTTTTAAGTTCCAGGACAGGCGCACACTGCCGCCCGTAAGTCAGAGATGTGATTCAGCATTTGTTCAGAATCAACACTCGCATATATACCAGGACGTAGTGCTCTCAAGTTGAAGTTATTCGTCACAGGTATGTGCTAGTAAAACTATCCGACGATGTTTACAAAGTTATTTTTTATGAATGTACAAGTGGTTTGTCTTTCTAACGATTTGTTATAGTCAAATGACCAGAAATGCGCATGTGCTGCTACAGCGCACACGCTTCTGTGAAAAATGGTCAAGTGCATCTCTAAACTGATATTATGGTTCAGTTTTAGCTTCTACCTACACATCTAAATTAAATAAGCAGGTTAGCATGCCATTTATATACAAAACAATGCTACAGCAGCTCTAAATTTCCAAGAGCAAGAATCTAATATAATTTCAGAGATGTATGGTTCAGATTGTGCAGTCAGCAATCAAACACATTTTCTTGCAGCTATATGTACTAATCAAGCATTTTTCCCTTCTCCCGGTTTCTAATCAGGAACCCTTGTTTTTCGTTTACACTGAAATATTAAATCAGTGTGCGGCCATGTATGAATCTGAGAAGAGCCAATCAAGAATCTGAATACTCTTCCACACATGCATCAGACAAGACATATGCAGGCCATCAATTTTATTCAGAACCATTTACCTGGATTGCTCGGGAGGTCCAAAGGTACAAATCTGTTGGGTGATGCTTGGTCTCTAAATTCCCTTGATATTCTTCTCAAAGGTTGATAGTCTCCTAATCTCCTCAGCCCCTTGCTCCCTGGTGCTAGGTCTCCTAGGGCATTGCCATGTCCCACAGCATGAAGTTCTATGGAGAAAACTTCATCATGATTCATGAGAGAGTGTCCCCTGGTTTTCCTCCTCTTTTCAGAAAGCTACAGCATGAGAGAGCTGCCTCGCCGTCTGCTGCACGAGGAGACCTTAGCACCAGTGGATACACCCATAGTTCAAAAAAGCGCTGGGTGTGTGGTCTGTGTTAATTCATTCGAAGCCCTAAATGTTGACTTTGACACTTTGTAGCTCCATTCAGTCTTCTAAATTTTGAATTTACAAGTTACCATACAAAATATATTTTTAGCGGTTGATGAACATGAGCTCTAGGTGGCCATCTTAAGCCAACAACTCAACAATGGGTTTTCTCTTTCTCTCTCACTACACTGCCGTTGGTGTGGAATTGGTGCACACAACCAAATGTACCCAAGTGGCCGTGCACGTTTTTCCTAGAAACCTCAATAAATAAAATAGTAGATATGTGAAATTCATTTCTAATAGACTTGCCTTGGCGTATCGACTAACCCATCCTTTCCCCGTGTCTCCCATGCTTAAAGGGTTGAAAATGAGCTCCTCTCTTAAATAGAAACAAAATCTCATCCCAAAGGTCATCAATCCCCTGATTCATAGTCTTCTCTAGATGAATATGAAGGCTAGTGGAGAGAGATTAAAAGGGAAAGGAGCAAGGTAATGTATCTAGGAAGATCACTTGGAGTTGAGCGCTTAAACTGGAGCTAGCATGTGATGCAAGGAAAAGAAAAGACCAAAGTTAGCTAGAATGTAGAGGTTAGGAAGGTGCGAGAAAAAACTACTGACGAGTCATGAGGACTTGCTGGAGACGAGCACACACGAGTATGCATATATGCACAGTTCTCACAAATGCACGTGGTATGCAACTCTATCTTGCCCGGTACTGTCGATTGTCCTTAACTAACACCAACCAAACCTACCCCATGCAACTGCCTCTCTAGTTGCATTGAAAGAGAATAGGAAGAAGCAAGAGTGTTATGACCTTAACTGATTTACAATAATGAGTTGTTAAATATGACTTGTCCCACATATCTTTTGTAGGAATACCTTGGACTAATGTGATTTTTCTTACCTTGTATTTCTCTCCATTTGAATGATGGATTGGATAGATTATTATAAGTCATATGAATGCAGGAGATTCTTTCATAAATAAACATTTTCCTATGATAGTGATACATGGATGCATATCGATTTGAGTTTAGCTTATTTTGAACTAATGAATATGTTGTTGGTTTTCTAATTAGAGATACCTTTGGAGGTGGATGAACAATGAAAACACTTCTATAGATGTGATGATTCTACTCTTAATTTTTGTAGTTTATATGATTCTGCTAATCTATGAGATATTGTGTTTTTCTTTTCTTTTCAGAGCCATGGCCATTGATTTATAATGTCCTTTTTGTTGCTTTAGAAGCACAACTGTTTGTGAAATACAACTAGTCTAGTATAACATTCTACTAATATAAAATAAAAGATAGATTTAGTTGCTCATTTCCATGGATCATTCTTGGCAACTCAATGTGCCCCAGGAATTTACATTCAAGCAATGAACGGTCCAAAGAAACCAAACTGGAGGCAATCAAGCTAATGCCATGATATTGTTATGGATATTGCCTCCATATTTTTGAGCTTAAATCTATATGGTAGAGAATTATTCTGCTCATTATGTGCCCAAAAAAATTATTTTTGATTGTATATAAATGTCTAAAACACTATGAAGGGCTCCATTTTAGTGTGTTTTAGCTTTTACTATCTATTTGAAACATTTTGTTTGATTTCCTGGCAGCATATTTTGCAGAAGTAGAGTTTCGAATAATGCAAGAGATGGTGCTAACAATCAAAATTCGTTTAGTTTGTTGTGAACATTTTTTTGAGCACAACCTCCAACTATTCCAGACTTCACTTCTATTTCTACAACAACATATTCAAATAGAAATGTTGCCCAGTGCAACTTATATTTTTTGCATCCGAGAGAAAAAAAATCCGTGGTGATTCATGAGTTCCACATAAGAACTTTTAAGAGATCAAGAAATATCATGGAAATTTGTAGAAGCTTGGAAGGTGCTTGTGACTCTTCCTTCCCTGATGCCTCCCATGCCTAAAGATTAAAAATTGGTGTCCCTTGGAGCAAAACAAGACCTCATCCCTGAGGCCCCCGATCCCTTGAGACTCACACTTGTCTTTCTGTTACACCTCTAGGAGAAATTCCCCCATCTTGGGTACAGGGTATCTGATGTCTCATGGCCAACTCC